ATTCAACTACAAAACATTCTGAACGGCAAACCTTCTAATGCTATCAGTCTAGATAAAACTTATCGAATTACTCTTATTTTTTCTACTTAAAAATCTGCAATTTATGATGTTTTGGTTTAGTAATATCATTTTTCGGTGAGTTAGAATTTGTTTCACATTCTTTTCATTTCAATAAATTAACGTTAGGTTGTGTTTTTAAATGTGTATACAGTCCGCTCGTACCTTAGCAAATGCCGGTTTCACGAAATTGCAAAATAGCACGAAATACTGGTATAAGGTATACCAGTCTATCGTTATTTCAGTCACTATCTATACACCTTTCAAGATGATAGTTATAGATTCAGGGACAGTAGACAATTGTTCAAGAACAGCAGTGTCTCGTTAGCTGTTTTTAGCGATATTCCAAGCGTTTGACTCTACTTCACCCATAAGCATAGACGTACTCATGAGTGCTTGGAATCGGAAATATTAAAACTAGACACAGAAACAGAACGGCAATGTGCTGTTTAATAATGAGAACAAATTCCCTTTACAGATTCGCCATTGTATATTTAAAGAAGAAAAGATATTCTACCACCTCCGCATGGAAAAGGACCAGATTAGATGCAGTGTATTCTTATTGTTGATAGGTAAACTTCTGAGCAGAAACATAATATTCCACAATTCGACAAGGATTCTGTTACTGTTAAGATATCCAAAGATGGAACCTCGTGCTGTATTTCTTTGAAATATTTATGGTCCGCAATTAAGTATTCATAGGCTATAACAAACCTTTGACATATGATGGGCTATGTTCATGGGCTATAACAACCCTCAACTGCACGATGATTTTTCACACAATGCAGATACCAGCGGTCTTCAAAATCACCGAACCCTTTGACCTATGTATGCGATAAGGAGAATTTATCCAGTCTTTGCTAAAGCCATTTCAGAAACGGCGCTGCATACGAAATTGGAATGTTTTTCCACAGATCATAGACAACCAAATAACGATGTAGAGGTCGATGTCAGATTTACGTGGATGGGAAAAAAAAGTGCCATCTATTAATATTTTTGTAATGGCATTCCATACAGTTTTTCCTTTCAAATACGATTTGGAAGACTTCAGATAGTTCGAAATCTTCAAAATTGCTCTTTGCTGCCTTTCTAAACTACCAGATTGAGATTTTTAAATAATTTTCATTAATCCTTATTTAAAAATGACTGCGCCATATTTTTATTAATGTATATATCTCAAGGCACTTTTGATGCTTCGACGAACATCTAAAATAACTGGAAGTCATTCTGATTCTACCACCTTACAAAAATAATAAAGATAACGAAAGAAATTAAATAAAACTCGACTTACTGCATACTGAATAGGTATAATTTCTTCGGGATATTCTCCGGTTTCTACCTCGCACTCTTTTTCCCAGTCTTCTGGAACTATATCTCGAATAAAATCCTCATAGAACCACACTGGACAGTATTCTGTACAACCGTGCAACTGAAATATGTATGGGTTTTCTACTTTAATTTCCGGATGGCTGGAGTTGAATAGCAGAAAGCGAACCGTGTGCCCGCCAGCAATTTCTTTGTAGAGTTCAACAGCAATGGTAGTTCCAAGTGGAGCATGCTTCATGTCATACATCTGCAGTGCATACTGGATAGCTGCTATATTGCTACCATGCTACAAGAAAAAGGAATATTATCTTGTCTCATATAAATATTATGCTGAGATGATAATAATAACTGAACGAAAAGCACAGATGCAGAGCCTGCTTCGACTTACATTGGGTTCCTTACAACCTAAGCTGGAAATATTAGAAGTTAAAACAGCATCTCATGTATAGAACATAACTACCTTAAATTTGCCCCAAGACTTGCGTTACTTTCAAAACTTGGTCACTTGGTACACTTAATCAGATTTTATTTAATTTATTTATAAGTTATTTCGTAATAAAGATTTGAATATCGTTGGTAACTGATCGAAATTTTAAGAAGATAAAAATTAATATGGCTGTATAGGAATTTATTTTTAATGTAGACTGTTGAAACTACATTGGGTCTAAAGAATATTGGAAGAACGAAGTTTCAATTAATCATCAAAAGCTTTTAAACTTTTGTTCTTTATAACCAAAACTGAAAGAAAATGTTTGTTTCGGCAAAAGTATCATCAATAATACAAGATATAATACATCAATGATACAAGATTTAGAATTAATTCACGTGCAATTAAAAAGTCTCTTAAATTATTACAATACGAAAACGAAATTCTTAATGATAAAGATAGAACATAAAATCTTTAATTAAAAAAAGAAATTATTTAAATATGATGAATCTTGGTATCTGCATCATATATGAACAAAAGAAGAAACAGCATTCATAATTTTTTAAGCAATGAAGCCTTTTTATATGGATAAAAGGGATTTAAAATGAATGAATTTTATATTTTATACTACTACTTCTACTTCAGTAGTAGCAGTTATCCAATATAATCTGACTAAATGTTGCAGTTCGGGTATAGTATCCTAAAATACGGCATGCTACGTGCGAATTTTAGTCTGATCGTCAACATTAAGCGATGATGAAATGTACTCAACATAAAAGAAATCGTGCAAGCAAGTGAACTATGAGAGGATTTCGACATTATGGGTGCAGCTCTGCAAGAGATGTCCAATGTGTGATAGGCCATGGTGTTGTCAAAATATGATCTCACAGATGCCTTGGTATGACACGAACATAAGCTCAGATTGTTGTGGGAGTAGTACGTAAAATTACTCACGACGGGCGGTGGAAGAGCAATTCCCAGATATTACTTCTAGTGTGAGAGAGGAGTGACGTTTCACAATAGAGAAAATTTCATACACTGATCCTGTCGTAACCAGGAATATAATATATGCAGGCCTTTGAAGCTATGAGTGGTTGGAACCGAAGACCACGCGATACACTGAACACTATTTCACGTTATTCGGATGGTGCAAAAGAAGTTAGAACTAGATTACAAAGTACCGCTCTTTGGCGTGGTGATAGGGGAGCAGGCTACCACAGCCTTGAGCCCGCGTTCGAAAGAAGCTCCCTGAAGAAAGATGTATGTTTGTACAGTTCTTTGCGATATGGGAACACCTGAGATACCTCGGTAAGCGATAAACGACGGCGGACGTGGGCACTGTCTCTTTACCATTTGAGTTAATCAGTACAGCACCACGTCCACCTTTATCTTATATTTAATATTACATTATATATTACGATACATGATTTACACATTGCATTATATACTACATATCAAATTAATACTTTACCTTAACATTACATAAACTTCACATCAACTTATTACATTAAAATTCTTTCCTAATAAACCCTATATTGGTAGATTATAAAAGGGTTATTTTGCACAGGATTCGCATTAGACACAGGATACGCATTATATTATCATTATACACTGGATACGCATTACATTATATACGGGGAAATTAATGATACATATGAACATTATGCGCAATAGGGTACGATACGGGTTAAATTATTCACAGAAAATTAGTTATACACAGGTATTGCATTATACAGGATAAATTATATACATGATAAGCTTTATACACTGGATGCATATTGAATTGTCATCATCACCATGCCAATTGTACCCGTTACTCGATACACTGCCTACATCGTTATACATAATACTACTATACAGTTTGCATTCACATTGTTTCAGTTGGGCTTTGCATTGTGTGCCATGTTGCTTATTAATCAGTACATACTACATTACATATTACATTATATATTATGATACATATGACACTATTACGATTACATTGCATATTATATTATATACTATCGTACATATGACACTATTACGATTACATCACATATTACAATATATATTCTGATCCATATGACACATTTTATATATTATGATACATATTATATTACATATTACGATACTTGGCTTACGTATTAGATAATGTACTATATATCAAATTAACAAGATAGTTCATACTTCGTTTATCAGTACATACTACACTACATATTACATTACATATTGCGATACATGGTTTACACATTACATTATATTCTACACATCAGATTGACAAGACGAAATAACGCCTTACCTTAACATTACATTAACTTCCCAACTACCTATTACATTAATTTTCTTTCCTAATATGCCGTATACTGGTAACAGATACTTTATCTTCAGATTGTAATAATGTTGTTTTGCACTGGCTGCGCATTAAAAACAGGATGCGCATTAAATTATACACAGGGAAATTAGTGATACATAGGAAAAAACATTATGCACAGAAGGGGGTATATACATATATATATGATGCGTGTTAAGTTATACGCAGGGAAAATTTGTTATGCACAGGTGAAACATTATGCAGGATAAATTATACTGACTAACTTATACGAATGTGCATATTACATTACTCCTTATAATTAAACCGGTAAGCTTTACAATGTTATTCTGTACCGAAGTTCTTTACACTTATAATACATTGCTTAATCATTACATTAACATATTTACCATGTACAAAAACATATAATGGATTACATTGCATTCCTAATATACATAGATTACTTTTGCATTTACAGTTAGCATATTACTGCAGGAATTTTGCATCTGTGCATTTCTCCATTACTTACATTTCGCACCTTAGAATAGGTCGCGGTATATGGATGTGATTGGTATTAGTACGCGTAGTACATGAACTGTCCTGCATTGCGTAATTTGCCAGTATTGACACGTTGCTGTTCTGTTGAAGGCAGTTATACGCGCTGCAAAGTGCATAGTTATATGCGCGATAACTGACCTCAGTGCGTAATGTTCATTACTGACTCAGTTCATTTGCAATATTTACAGTTTTAGTTTATGAGCTGCTCGTAGCACATCATGCCGATAGTTATATACATATGGAGTTTGTATGACATGGTTTTTAATTTACATGATACATGGCACATGGTAAATGGCGTTGCACACTCCACCTTGCATTTGCATATCATATCTTAGCACGTTTGCTTTAGATTAGACATAAGTCTGTGCCCAAGTTCATGAGTTTATCAACTATCTTGTTGATTTTTCGGACAGTACGTTTGTCTTTAACCATAAATCTGCAGAAAGCCTGCGTGTTTGTAGTTGGAATTGGCAGGTGCAGATCTGCTGTAAGCGGGCATTGGGTAACATAATGATCTGGGGTGCCCATCTCACCACAGATACAATGTGCGTTTTGTGCAATCCCGTGTTTTTCATAGTACACGGGAAAAGGACCGTGTCCGGTAATGTATCGGACCATTTGCGCATGCACTATGAGACGGTCTGAGTCTACCGTAGGGACGTGATAGTGAGCACGGCGTCCTGTCTCACCAGTATCCCATTCCTCCTGCCAAAGGGATTTTGCCTTGTGTTTCAGACTTTTCTTTAAATATGAAACTGGCCATGGGATGGTGATATGTTCCGCATTGATGTTTCTTGCGGCCTCCTTTGCAAGTTGATCTGCTTGCTCGTTCCCCCTGTTGCCGACGTGGGCCTTGGTCCATTCTATCCTGGTGTTCAGATGGCTGTGGTCGCGCAGATGTGTCTGAATCTCTGCAATCAGTGGGGAGCTGTGCACAGGGTTCACAATTGCATACAGCGAGGAGAGGCTGTCTGTTATAATGAAGCTGTCTCTTTGCCGCTGTTGGATTATCGTAAGTAGAGCTTGTTTGATGGCCATTACTTCACTCTGAAACACGCTGTATTTTGTGTCCAGGTGACCTTTCCATTGTGCTATTGTGCTTTGCTGTCTGAGGGCAACATAGGCGCAACCTGTATTTTCATCTAGTTTTGACCCGTCGGTATAATAGACTAGATCATCTTCCTTTACATTGGTGTTTTGCTTGATGCTAATCTTTACTCCCTGTTCCTGCGTTGAGGGGTGATCGGCAAGGCGTATCATCTTTTGTTCAAATTCAGCTGGTGAGTATAGCTCGTCTCCGAAGGTGGTTAGATTTTAGATTGCCAAGTTGAGTGATCTCCTGATAGGCTGCTTCCTTTTCTACGCTCAGATGGAGCGGTAGCAATCCCGCTAGTACGCATAACGCATTTGTAGGGGATGTTCGGAAGGCCTTGGTGACATTCAGGAGAAAAGGCCTTTGTATGCTAAGTAGATGCTTTACTTGACTTTGCGGCCCTGCATAGGCGCTGACCAAACAGCCGCTCCATAAGTTATAACTTTCTCGGCTACTGTTGTGTAAAGCGTTTTCTGGATATAGGGATTGAGACCCCATTTATAGCCCTGCATATATCTTAGTTGTTGGGCTAATCTTGCAGTTTTCTTTTTCAGCTCCAGCACACATGGGGGATCCAGTTTAATTTGGTGTTGAAGAGGATTCCAAGATATTTCAGCACTGGAGTGATGCGAAGGCGATGTCCGTTTAAAGTTATCCTTTGCTGTCTTGCCAGCGATCCGCCTTTTTGGGGGAGGAGCAAAATTTGAGACAAAATTTGAGATTTGGCCTCTGCTATTTGAAGTTTTAGGGCTGTGCATCTCTCCTAAAAAGGGAGCATGATTCGATTGCATTGGCCTGGAGCTGTTCCCTGGTCCTTCCTTCGACGATTAGGGCTGTACGCAGACGATACAGCGTAAGCAATGATCCTTGTATGGTCAGGTCATGGGTTGTTGAGGAATCCGTTGAAGGTTATGTCCTTGGTGAAGACTGTCCTTAGGATCTCTGATAACGTAGCCTCCGTGAGGTGGTCATTAGTATTTGGCGTTGGCTAGAGGTAGAGAGTAGCAGGTTTGAAGAGTTTGCCAGCTGCGATTTTGTGGTGGATACCAAAGGTGGTCTTGGTTTCTGTGCAGAATTTTCTCCAGCTGCTTATCTTAGCTCCCAGAATCATTCGCTTATAGAGTGCTCGCTCCCGTTGGTAAATGACCAGAGTGGAAGTTTCTAAATTATGTCTGCGCTCTTGCTTTAGGCGTCGCCGTAGAGCACGATACCTTTGTTGTTGACTTCGAAGCGTGCCATTCCACCAATTCAGCGTTGTGATTCTTTTGGCCGTGCGCAGGGGGAGATTTTCCTCTCATGCCTTCTGGATTGACCTCGGTAGCAGATCTTCTGATTCCTTACCCCCAATTCCGGGAAAGTCTTACTGTCACCTGTACTGTGCCCAAGGCCAGATCAAAGAGGGGTGCGCACATCTTGGCATAGAGCTGATCCGAATATCTTGACTGATCAGAACGAGTAGTAATAACAAAAAGAGTGGCTTCCGGGAACGAAGATCCTCTCTCATAAGTTGTTTTACAGCGGCTCAGATGAGTACAAATGATTCGTAGAAGATGCAATAAAGCCACAGTTGGTGAAAGACTAGGAGGACTAGGAGGTTGGTGCTGTACATGTGATTTACGTAAACACTTCGTCATGCTAATAAATCGCTTTTGTGGGCTTTCAGGATGCAATTATCGCTGAACTGTGCGTTGCACGAACTGCTGGTGCTCATATCGCTAGATTTCTATCTACATCTGATCCGTCAGCCAAACAACAGGTCGGCTGCATTAAAACGTAATATACTAGTGATTTATCTTTGTTCAACACTTTCTTTTCAATATCTCAACTTTTTCATCCTACTATATTAGTTCTTTCACCCCAATAATGCGTCATTTCTCTACCTAGCTCCTCTACAAAACTGCAGGTATTAAGTATATAGCTTACAGTCTGTAAAGGTAGTATCACAGATGGAAAGTATTTGAGGCAATTAAGACTTTAGTATAACATTTCTATGGGATCGTCAGGTGTATAAAATACCTCAAGTCAGGTATATATTATAGGTCTTAAATAGCTCGTGTGATAACTTAAAATCTTTAATTATCCGTAGCATCATCAAAACTGCTCTTATTTTCGAGCTTTTCTTTTCGTATGCCTTCTTCAGTATTCATTTCCTACTCGTGGTGAAGATGCGTTATTATGACAACCATTATTTTTGAAAAACCTTTAAGCTTCCTTTGCCCTTGAACATCTACATTCATTTCATTCTTACCGAATAATGTTCCTAGGTTACGCTTTTTTCCATGTAGTTGTTATAAATGGATATAATGACAACCTGATTTAGAACTTCCACAGCAGACAAAGAATGTGAGTCTATAAATCTATCTAATGTGAGTATATAATATACTACATCTAATCTTAAAACGCACTATTACGAATTTTGTTATATTTTTAAATAATTTTTGTGAAATTATATGTAACCTGTTTTATCTCCTGTATAATGCAACATAAAGGTCCAATAATGCGAAGAATGGCCGGAAAAATAGGGTTATATGGATACGTCCATTCAAGATTGCGGTAAATGGCTTGGCGAGATAGCACCGAGCTGGCGATGGTTTCGACGACTACTTGTTGTCACCAAATTTGGCAAGAAATTGCCAAAAGTCGTTAGGTTCGGCGACATTCTAGTCCGATGCCTATATGACTGCAAATGCAATATATCCTGCAACATGTAAATGTAACTGTTTACGCCTTCCAGCTAATTCGAGAAATCGAAGGTACTAGAAATTTCTCTGTTGACGGAGAAAAAACTGTATAATATCGGAGCCAGTAAAATCAGTTTTCAGTTATTTATTGGATCGCAAATTTTATGCTTATCTGTATTTGAAGACTGTATTTATCTATCTTACAGACTTGCTTTAGGAAGAAAGCTTCTCATTGGCCTCTCCTGACCTTCTGATAACAATGTGACCTACTATGCACTTCGAAGATGACATCCGTCCTAGTTCGTGCCGTTAGGAACTGAACGTCATTTCTGCGAAAATCAGTTACATTGGCATACAAGGCCTGTTGTTCAGTACGTATTATTTTATTTTGTTACAAGATATTTTGAATAGCACAGAACACTCTTATAAGACAAATCAATACTATATAAAAGAGAAATTATATTGTATGTATACACATATATGCATTTGGCAGTGCATTAAATGAGTACTACATTTGGTGCATAAATAAGTCAAATGTGCTACATTTAAGTGATGGTTCATAATGCTGGAAACATGGGTGCTGGTTCTTTTAGATGGAACTTCCGTCAAGCGGCATTCAAAGTAATAGTGGTCTGGACTGCCCACTTTGCTACAGTCGCAGATGTCTGTGTTGGATAGACCAAACCTATGCTGATAGGCTTTGTACGGTCCATGTCCTGTTAGGAAATGTGACATGCTGCCAGTTTTGCTCTGCAGATCCATATTTACACTTGGGAGCATTGCATGTGTACGTCGACCCGTTGTAGCATCATTCCAGCGGGTTGGCCACTATCTTATAAGAAGTTTGCATGTGGAATGCTTTAGCAGCGAGGTTGGAAGTGTTTTTGGGAAGTCAAGTAAAGATGCCAATAGCTTAAAACACTACCGGTTCAAACAGGAGCTAATCACTAAGCTTCCAGCAGGAAACTTCGAAACTGACCCGCTACAGTCACATGACGCTTGCCGAATTTCAGGGATAACAAGAACTTTATGGAAGTAAAGCTCATCACTTAACAGCAGATTCTTCTGCAAACTGACGATCTACGATATGAGCAACTCCAGCCTTTTCAACTCCGGTTTTTAGCTCCTTCATCCCTAGAAGGATCTGAAACGCCATCACAGTGGGTCACCTTCTTCTACTTATTCAAGCTTCCGTTGCTACGGAATCCGCTATCATAGAACGTTCAGCGTCATGCTTCGAAAGGTTCAAATTTCATCTGAGCTGGTATAATTTCACTCGTAATACGAATGTAATACTTTATTTCAGGTCTATACTCGTTCAGTATAGACCTGAAATAAAGTATTACATTCGTATTCGTTTTCAATTTCCAGTTAAGCTCAGAGTATTGACAGCTCAGAATGTTGAGAGATTACTGTGCGAGCTTACGCGTTTAAGGTTCTTTGCATTGCTTTGTATTCGACGTTCTTGGCAGTTTGAAGTGGTAACAACTGATTGTACTGATTGTTCATTATGAGAAGAACTGTATGCATGCTTTTGTGTGAAACGATCAAAAACTGTAATTTTTATAATAAATTTTATAAAGCTATCATCGATTCTGAATGCATTGAATCCATTGAGAACTATACGCATATAACAGTACTATAATAGATCTCGATGTAATAAATTATACGCTATTTTAAATCAAAATGCGTTAGAAATTCAAATATTACTTTAAATGTTATTATAAGGAAAACACAAATGGGCAAAAGCAGAGCAAGACCTTTGCCCCAAATTACGTTTTAGTGACGAAATATTCTGATGTTGTTGCTTTAATGGAAATTCATATATTGACAATTCATGAATTTTTGATTTTGCAAAAAGCTGCATTTTCTAGTTTTTTTATAAGTAATTTAAATTAAGTAGTTATACTAAAATGTTATGTTTCAAAAAAAGTATAAAGTATAATTTGAAAGAGAAAAATATCTGTAAAAATTTTAGTAAATATTTCATCGCATGAAAATTCGAGCTGAATTAATAAATAATAATGCTTACTCCTGAATATATATACACTTTAATATCCTTATTTTGTTCGTCTATTCTTTCCTTCATTCGTTGCAGAAATAAATTTAATAATGGACCTGGAAAAATGTATTGAAATTAGGACATATTTATGGCAGCAATCTGAATGAATAAAAAATAAGTTTTGTTTGCAATAAAATTAATTTTCGTGGTTTTTCCCCATGTGTAACGTGTATACGAGCCAGTTTCCCTTAGAAAGTCCTCCACGAAGGCATCCCTCCTCTTAGGCAGATAGCCCCCGAGGCTTTGCCATAATCACACACACACACACATACAATAAAATTAAAAATTCCTTCAGCTTGCTAATTTATTTTATACACTTCCTATCTTGCACTTATCCTTTTCCAATTAAAAAGAGGACACTAATTTGATCTTTACTCGAAGTTCTTGAGTGGAAAGTACCTGGCCATAGCGAACCTTCTCCAAC